TCTCTTCTTAAAAACTTCCAGTGTTGGAGCATTCACTGCTTCTGGAGGCAGGTTGTTCCACTGGTTAATTGTTCTAGGTTGCTTCTCTTAGTTCTAGGTTGCTTCTCTCCTTGATTAGTTTCCATCCGTTGCTTCTTGTCCTGCCTTCAGGCACCTTGGAAAATAGCTTCACTCCCTCTTTGTGGCAGCCCAAGATATTGAAACACTGCTATCATGTCCCCCCTTGTTCTTCTCTTCGTTAAACAAGACATACCCAATTCCAGCAGCTGTTCCTTATATGCTTTAGCCTCCAGTCCCCTAATCATCTTTGTTGCTCTTCTCTGTACTCTTTCTAGAGTCTCAACATCTTTTTTACATCGTGGTGACCAAAACTGGATGCAGTATTCCAAGTGTGGCCTTACCAAGGCATTGTAAAGTGGTATTAATACTTCACGTGATCTTGATTCTATCCCTCTGTTAATGCAGCCTAGCACTGTATTGGCCTTTTTGGCAGCTGCAGTACACATGGAGTGGACAACTGAGTTCCAAGTTGAAGATGTGGAAACCTCTAATAGGTATACCCTTCTCACCTAGGTTTCCCTTAATCAGTTTCACTATTTATTTATTTTATTTATTTATGAGACTTATATACTGCTTTAAGTGCAAGCACTCTCTAAACGGTGTACCCCAGTAAGCAATAATAATAATAATAGTAAAGTTGGAAGGGACCTTGGAGGTCATCTAGTCCAACCCCCTGCTCGGGCAGGAAACCCTACACCATTTCGGACAAATGGCTGTCCAGTCTCTTCTTAAAAACTTCCAGTGTTGGAGCATTTACTGCTTCTGGAGGCAAGCTGTTCCACTGATTAATTGTTCTCACTGTCAGGAAGTTTCTCCTTAGTTCTAGGTTGCTTCTCTCCTTGATTAGTTTCCACCCGTTGCTTCTTGTCCTGCCTTCAGGTGCTTTGGAAAATAGCTTAATTCCCTCTTCTTTATGGCAGCCCCTGAGATATTGGAATACTGCTATCATGTCCCCCCTTGTCCTTCTCTTCGTTAAACTAGACATACCCAATTCTAGCAACCGTTCCTTATATGTTTTAGCCTCCAGTCCCCTAATCATCTTTGTTGCTCTTCTCTGTACTCTTTCTAGAGTCTCAACATCTTTTTTACATCGTGGTGACCAAAACTGGATGCAGTATTCCAAGTGTGGCCTTACCAAGGCATTGAAGAGTGGTATTAATACTTCGCGTGATCTTGATTCTATCCCTCTGTTAATGCAGCCTAGTACTGTGTTGGCCTTTTTGGCAGCTGCAGCACACTGCTGGCTCATATTTAAGTGATTGTCTACTAGGACTCCGAGGTCCCTCTCACAGTTACTACTATTGAGCATGGTGCCACCTATGCTGTACTTGTGCATTTGGTTTTTCTTGCCTAAATGTAGAACCTTGCTTTTTTCACCATTGAATTTCATTTTGTTAGTTAGTGCCCAGTGTTCAAGTCTGTCCAGATCCTTCTGTACCTGAAGCCTGTCTTCTGGAGTGTTGGCTATTCCTGCCAGCTTGGTGTCGTCTGCAAATTTGATGAGTTCCCCATCTATCCCTTCATCCAAATCGTTGATGAAGATGTTGAAGAGTACTGGGCCCAGAACAGAGCCCTGGGGCACCCCACTACACACTTCCCTCCATATAGATGCAGTTCCATTGAGGACCACTCGCTGAGTACGGCCGGTCAGCCAGCTACGGATCCATCTGGTGGTGGTTCTGTCTACCCCACATTTTTCTATCTTGTCAAGTAGTAGGTTGTGATCTACTTTATCAAATGCCTTACTGAAGTCCAAGTAAATTATGTCCACAGCATTCCTCTGATCCACTAATTTTGTCACTTGGTCAAAGAATGCAATAAGATTTGTCTGGCATGATCTATTTTTGACAAACCCATGTTGGCTTTTAGTAATGACTTTGTTTGCCTCTAGGTGTTCGTTGATTCGTTGTTTGATTATCTTTTCCAGGATCTTCCCAGGTATTGAGGTCAGGCTGATAGGTCTGTAATTTCCTGGATCCATTTTTTTTCCTTTTTTGAGGATGGGAACTACATCAGCTCTTTTCCAGTCCTCTGGTAGTTCCCCTGTGTTCCAGGATCTTTGAAAAATATAGTTCAGTGGCTCCGATATCACATCTGCCAGTTCCTTGAGAACTCTGGGGTGTAATCCATCTGGTCCTGGCGATTTGAACTCATCTAGGCTGGACAGGTGCTCCTAACCATTTTCTTGCCTATCTTAACTTGTGTTTCTGTTTTGTTTTTTATGGCACTATTTTTGATAGGTTGGTCTGTTTTTTCCCTTTGTGTAAAGACAGATGCAAAAAATGAGTTAAATAGTTCTGCTTTCTCCCTGTTGCTTGTCACCTTCTTGCCACTTCCACCCACTAATGGACCAATCATTTCCTTCACTTTTTTCTTGTTTTTTACATGTTGAAAGAAGCTTTTTTTGTTATTTTTGACTTTGGTCGCAAGCCTTAGTTCATTTTGAGCCTTGGCTTTCTTCACTTCATCTTTGCAGGCTCGGGCTATTTGCTGATATTCTGACTTAGTTATGTTCCCCTCTTTCCACTTTCTGTACTTGTCCTTTTTATCTTTCAATTTGTCAGAGAGTTCTTTATGCAGCCATGCTGGTTTCTTTTGAGAGCTGTTATTTTTCCTCTTTGTTGGTATTGTGCTAGACTGTGCTTTTATTATCTCATTTTTCAAAATTTCCCAAGCTTCTTGAGTTGTTTTCCCCTTGAGGATTCTCATCCATGGAATCCTTCCCAAGCCCTCTCTAAGTTTATTGAAATTAGCTCTCTTGAAGTCCAAGACTCTAGTTTGACTGTGTTCTATTGGTTGTGCTTCTATAATGTTGAATTCTAATATTGCATGATCACTTCCTCCCAGGGTTCCTATGGCTTCAACACCGTCTATCATTTCATCTCTGTTAGTGAGAATTAGATCCAAAATGGCTAACCCCCTAGTTCCCTTCTCTACTTTTTGGGAGACAAAGTTGTCTGCTAGGTTTGCCAGGAACCTGTTTGATCTTCCACTTGGTGCGGAGTTTGTCTCCCAGTTGATGTCAGGGTAGTTAAAGTCCCCCATTACTATTGTGGTGTGCTTCCTACATACCTTAGTTAGCTGACTAGCAAAAAGTTCATCTATTTCCTCTGTTTGGTTGGGTGGTCTGTAGTATACACCTATGGCAATGTCATTTCCCCCCCCTTTTATATTGACCCAAATGCATTCAAGACAGTTTTTATCATTGTTGTACTCTATTTCTGTGGAGATGTAGTTATTTCTTATATAGAGAGCAACTCCACCTCCTCTTTTATTTGGTCTGTTTCTTTTAAATAATTTAAATCCCTCTAGCTGTGTGTTCCATGTGTGAGTTTCATCCCACCATGTTTCCGTAATGGCAACAATATCGTATCTGCCCTCGTTAACCTGAATTTCTAGTTCACCCTGTTTGCTGTTCATACTCTGTGCATTGGTGTATAAACATTTGAGTCCTTTGTGGGTGGCCCTGTGTTTCCTTTCTACATAACCTGTGTGGTGCCTGAGTTCCCCTATTGTCTTACCACCTATTTGGTTAGTGCACTTTATGTGGCACTCGCTATTAGAGGCTTCATTTTGATTGGTAGCAAGGTTGGTATTCTTGTCCACACACACATCTATGCTACATGCACTGATAGCCCTATAGTTTTTAAATTGTATATATATATATATTTACATTGCCCCCAACAATCTGGGTCCTCATTTTACCTACCTCGGAAGGATGGAAGGCTGAGTCAACCTTGAGCCGGTGAGATTTGAACCGCTCTAACTGCTGCGCCACCTCGGTTCTCTTTAGTTCTTGATTCTGTCTACCCAGCATAATACCATCACAGCTTTTAAAATATATATACTGAGCAGCTGAACTGCTATTCAACTATTTGGCAATTATGGAGCTGGATTTTATTTCATTTTCAGGAGAAAAATTATTTGGTTCATTTTTATTCCCTGCAAGCTTTGGGAAAGTTCTGAATGCCATCTGTATTGGGCAAGGGTAAATTTGTACAGGTAATCCTCAAATTTGCAGCCATTTGTTTAGCAACTGGTCAGTTACAATGGCCCTGAAAAAAATGACTTACAACTGGTCCTTACAATTACGACTTTAGTAGCATTCCCATGGTCACATGATCAAAATCCGGGCACTTGACATTTGGCATGTATTTAAATGAAGCTGGATTCACTTAATTTTCATTGTTTCAGAAAAGGAAACAGTGATTGATATTGCATGAGCGCCGCAGAGAATATTTAAGCCCCAAAGGGCAATACAGTAAAATGCAGAGACCAAGATTATAGCTTCAGAGGAAAATTTAGAGAATGGCTTGCAAATAGCTGTAATAGAGAAAGTATATGCCTTTCTCTATTTGGTATGTGATTACAACATAAATGTATCCTGACAATTTTCTCTTTTTCTGCTGGTCCCCATGAAGCCCCCCTATGTCATCTGCAGCCCAGAAGCGAGGCAGATCATACTTAGCTATTCCAGTATTATTGCAACATCATCCAAGGGTAGCTTCGAGATATATAAAATCTCTTTTATCACCCATTAGATGATAAGAGCCATGGAGGCTCAGTGGTTAAGAGTGCAGTATTGCAGGCTAATTCTGCTGACTGCCGATTGCCAGCAGTTCGGTAGTTTGATTCTCACCGGCTCAAGGTTGACTGAGCCTTCCATCCTTCCAAGGTCAGTAATTGTTGGGGGCAATATGCTGATTCTGCAAACCGCTTAGAGAGGGCTGTAAAGCAGTGTGAAGCGGTATATAAGTCTAAGTGCTATTGCTATTATCATGGAGGGAAGTCAGGTCACTGCATCATCTCAAAAGAGAAATAATAAAGGCAGAATATAGCTCTTTGCTGAGTCAAGGATCGCTAGATAACATTGTACCCCAGCAATGGAATAAAGCCTGTTGAGATAAAGAACTTGAACAGATACAAGAGGAACACACATAACATCTGCAGCATAATTTTATTTCCAGAAATATTTTCAGTTTAAAAACAAAAAGTTGCATTTCAATCTTGAAACCAGCAAGACTGATAAATTCATCCCCATGGCAACGTGGAGCTTCCCACCAAACATAAGACATATGAAGAATGCTGATTCTACTTTCAAACTGAGCTTTAAAAAGTCAGATAGAATATGTGTTTGTACATTTATTAAGCACCAAACCCCAGCTAGTTTAATGGAGTTACTCTCAAAATCAGCATTCATAGGATTGCATTCCATATACAGAGAAATTGCTTTATAATAAGAATTACTTAATGCAGTATATGAAGCATGAATTGTGCTATGTAACAATTTGAGGAAACAGAGTTGTACTCCAATATCTATGTTTACCATGATTTCAGAACTATGCTGGATAGTCTCATTTGTTTTCTGATTTTGAAAAGTCACTTTTTACAGCTACAACTAGATTCTGGATAACACAGAATGTTGGTAACAATATGAGGTCTGGTCAGTTACATCGAGCTGATATGTTAATAAGTCCTAATAAAACTGTCTATTAATATAAGTGTCCTCACCCCAGAAAGCTTTTCCGGTAGATTACCTCATGCTAGCGTTATAATTGTAAAATTACTACAAGCCAACATTATAAGCAACTTGGTTATTGAGTTTTTCTAATGGTACTGATTCTGCTACAAAACTTAATTATTGACAATTTAGAATAGTCATACTTTTGATCTTTTCCTACTCTTGGAACATTTCCTAGCAAGTATTTATTACTACAGAATTCATCTTTCTGCTGGCAACCCTCCCCCCCTGCTATGTATCCAGCTTATTTTAAGCTATCCTAAGCTATCCTAAAACATGTTAGAGAATGGAGCAAATTTTTTTTAGCCAAGCCATTATTAATTTTGAGAGCATAAATCATCCTGCTGAAGACCATAAACTACAGTTAAGAGTTACAAACATATCTAGGAAGCTTTTGTAATTTATATGCATGGAAAAATCTGAATATTTATGGAATGTACATTGAACAAAAATGTTTCAAAAACCAGGCTTCCATTTCAGTAGAATTCCAGTCAAGGTACATTGGGTACAAAGACATATCCAACAGAGATATTTTATTCATTTAACTGGATGGAAAATAAGCTTTGGAGCTTTACAGCAGAACCAAAGTTGGCAAAATAAATAATACTTTAGCTATAACACAATTTAGATATGAGTTATACAAATGTTTTTCGTGGCAATAACTTAGTTGTCTTAGTTGTCTAGCAACTAAATATAATATCAGCAGGACCACTTTCCAAGCATTTAATTTTGAGGTTGGGGACTCTGGGAAAGTAACCAATGCATAGAATTCATGAGAAACATTTCATTTAAATAACTTTAGTGCTGTGCCCCAAATTACTGAAGTAACCTATGGAGAATTGTAGAAATATCTTCACTGAACAGTAGCTTATCATTATTGATGTGTATAGTGATGAATAATGACTTATTATCAAACATTATATTTATGTCAACTAGATATTATAGACATCTAAGAAAATACAAAGAATCCTACAATTCTTACAATGAATTTTATACATTTAAATGGAAATCAGCTCCCACTGAATTCAACAGGAGTTACTTGGACTGAAGAGGAAACGGTGGAATGGAACATTCTCAAGAAAAGCAGAGACAGAAAAAAAATAAAGATATATTTATACAAGTTCAAAGATAGCAGAACAAAGCAAAAGTTTGGTCCAAATAATATACAAAATTTCTACAAATGATATGAATAGATTTTCATTATCTTTGCAAACTTCTATGAAGAAGTCATTTTTTCTTCTCTAACACAAATCCTTTACAAAGAGAACATATGATTATAGCAGTTTAATTCCACAATATCATGTACCAATCCAGAGTATCAAAATAGAGCAACTCACTTGTTAAATTCTATATGAATTAAGTAATGTCTTTAATCAGTTATTAGATGCAGTCTAAACATTTAAATATTGTTTGGTCATTACAAAATCATATAGAAGGTGATACTAGCACCTTCTGGCCAGTTTATTTATCAGAAAAACTAAGAGGTTTTACCAGACAATATCCTTCAGGCTAGAAATGTACAATCAGATGCTTTGCATGCAAGTAGAAGCCTAGCATATCAGAAATTACTCTAGATTTCTCTTTGATATTCTAGATATAAAAAGCACTGTTTCAGAAGGGATTAATTTAAACATGCAATTGATTATACACCTATAATCTGAATTGGTAACATCCAGATTATTTTTTTTTCTTTTCATGGAAAAAGTGAGCTTCTGTACAGTATCAATACTGTTCTCATTTAAATGAGTTCCAAAGAAATTTAACAATATTAAATTAAAAATTAAATAGCCTGCCAATTGGTAAAAATGACAAGGCAATTCTCTCTAGTTACAATAGTAGTCTACATGAAATAGGTTGCTTTTTCAGCTATTCCTTGATTCTACTGCAGTGTTTCTCAAACTTGGCCACTTTAAGATGTGTGGACTTCATTTCCCAGAATCCCCTAGTCAGCTGGCTGGCTGGGGAATTTTGAGAGATGAAGTCTGTATATCTTAAAGTGCTAACATTGATCTATTGATTGCACAACCTTTCCTTGGAAAGAAACACTGGCTGATATCCATTCATGTAAGGGGAGAGGCTTTTTTGCCAACATTTTCTCTCCCTCCCACCCTCTGCTTTCTTTTACTACATCTCACAACATTCCTGGTGGTCACCAATTCTGCAGAAGCGATTTAGGGAACCATGAAAAAAGATGAAAGGAGAGGCAGGATAAAACATTCCACATACTGTATACAGAAACTGTCCCAATTATGGGAGCATGGAAAAATTAAAATTCTGTGAGTCTTCTCTATGAAGCGGCATACACTTCTATCCTGCCTTTCCTGCATCATCTGAGGGGCTTCATCCTTTGTGGTTACTCTGGCTGTATGTACAGTTTCAGATAAGCTTTTGTACATAATCCTTTAAGACAGCGTCTCTCAACCTTGGTAACTTTAAAACATGCTTTTGGGAGAATTTTGGGGGAACTCTACATGTCTTAAAATTGCCAGGTTTGAGAAATACTGCTTTAGGAGAAAAACAAAGGGATTCTTTGAAGTATATACATATTTTACGTTGAAATGCATAATATGACATACAAATATATAAGATGTTTGCTATTACTTGCAACCCAGAATGCGCATTTGGATTGCACTGAGATTGCTAATACAAACTAGCTCGAACAATGAATGAGAGTATTGTCATTTCAGGAGAAAACAAGGTTAATGATAAGATACTAACATTTTAAATGTCTTTAAATCATACACCATTAAAGAATCATGATTCAAAAATCTCCTTAAAAGAATGAAGTTCCATCAGCCTCTGCTACAAGCAGAATGCACATTACTTGCATTATAATCCAAAAATTCAAACCATATTTATTAGTTTTTTTTTAAAAAAATCCACCTTTTTACTTTATAAGTAACTCAAGGTGGCAAACATACATAATAAACCTTTGTCCTGACATCAATGGGAAAAATTCTACCAAATCTGCAGACTTTAACAACTTGCCATTCATCTAGTAGCCATAAGTAACAAAGAATTCCATACACAAGTGGATTGTACATTTTTCCATTTCTCTTTCACAAATCCATTCTTGATACTATATTGGAAGGAAATGAAGAGAACTGTGCCTCTAGCTCTACATTTCTAGGCCTCTTGCTTGGCAGAAAGTATTTAAAAAAATAAAAGAATCTGCTCATTACCTACTGCCTATATTAAATCAAAATAATAATAATAAGCAGCAGAATTCAATATGAATGAAGGCCAGCATCAACTGAAGAACTGGCAACTGTGACTTCACATTGTTGTGAACAGATAATAATCAGTCAATTGCAAAAGGTAGCTTTCCTCAGAACAGCTTATATCTTGTGACAATCAAACATCCACATCTGCCTTTCCCAGGGAAGGAGTTGATAGGTGGACAAAAATACAAATCCAGTCTGAACATCTGGCTGTGTGACAGACCATAATAATAACAACCAGCTTTTTTTATCCTAGCCTAAGAGAAGGAGCATCTAGCTTAGAAACATAGCAGAGAAAACCTTTAGCAAGTTAATCTACTTATCTTTTATAGGCTTATTTTCAAGGCCAAATTAATGCCCTCAAACTGCATTGTCTAATTATTACTATACAATATCCATTCATAACAAAAGAAAGCAAATGTTAGCCAAAAATCTTCTTCACTGTCCTAGGATGAAATAATTTAAAATAAAGACATTAATTGAAAACAAATCTATCCAAAATTAAAATCTGACCAGAAAAATAAAGTTTAAAAACATTTATTAACATGCCAGAAATGCTTGTCTGTATGTTGCCTTTTTTCCTTCATGTTCTTGCAGTGTTGACTTAAATTAACTGCTCAGGTAAGTTGCTTGCAAGGTGATTCAGGTTTGTGATTCTTTTCTATTCCTCTTGCAAAGAGTTTAATTAATTGGCAGTGAACTCTGAAAATGTAAGAAATGGTAAAATCTTCACATGATAAAATTCTATCAATTCTATCAATCTGCCAGTCACTAATAAGAACAAAACCCTCTCAATTATTCAGTGTACGAAGCTATTCACAATGGCAATTTGAGATAGCAAATACAGCTATGTTTTGTGTTTTTTCCTAGTATATTTTTTATTTGGAGAAATGCCATAATAAATAAATGGAATCATCTAGCCCAAATTAAGGTATTTTCACATATACCTGTGTATCTCTTATTAGCTTTTAGATTGTCTGGATTATTTCTAGCATCTCAAGTACATATATATTAGATTCAGGTACAAGTCAGATATAGAATTATTTGGGATTTGGCCTAGAATTTGTAAATAATAATATATATCTTAGTATATTATCTGAACCAAACCAATGGATGCAGGTTGCTCCCAACCCTAATTTTAAGACTAATAACTCTTACTAGTCTTGTATTCTGTGAATTTATCTAATCCCCTTTCAAAATTATTTACATCAGTAATGGTCACCAGATTCTGTAGTAATGAATTCCACAGGACTAATTAGGTATTGTTTAACCATGTTTGGTTGAACAACCATCATAGACTCTTTTTATCATGTACTTAGGACTGTGGCTGGGAAGATGATTTTTAAAAAAATATTCATGAAAAAACATTCTCCCTTCCTAAGAACTGCTACTGGAGGCAATAAATAGTCTAAAGTTCTGCTTAATAAAACCTCTTGACATTTTTTTAGGTGAGAGGATTAAAACTTTTTTTTTCATTAGGAGTGCAGAACGATGCATATGTAAAAAAGATACCAGATCTCTATCTGCAGTGGAAGTAGACTGTCAATTTTTAAACCCCTCTTAGGTGAATTGCACTCTTAATCTCTTTATATTTGTAGATTCTTTTTTTAAAAAAAGAAAGTCACTCACTTGACTTCAATAGTTGAACAATCCAGGGTCTCCCCATCACAGTTCCAGGTACTGCTGGGGGGGAGGCAGCAGCAAACTGGGTGGTCTCTACAGAACTGACCAAAGTGTTTTTTCCGCATACCCTGGTCATCATTGTCACCATTATCGAAGTGCTTTGATGTAAAACGAAACTTTTTAATCCGATAAACCTCTACAAAGCTGAAGTCAAACTGCAGAGAAATTGTAGGAAGCAAATTACAGCATTTGTTGCCTTAAAAATTGTCAAAAGACATGTCAGTCTTCTGAGACTTTTTTTGTCTAAATAGCACTTAACTGCATTTTGTTTAAATGACACTTAGCACTACAATGTAAAATACAGTTAGGTGTACTCAGACATACAATAGGTTTAAGCATATCTAAGTCTAGATTCTGACAATTGTGCTATAAAACTCAATTTTCTGAATAACCTTTTCTTTACCAGTAGAATAAACTATACACTGCACACAAAACTATTTCTATAAATGAAGTAGGTGAAATATTTGCATTTGCTATAATTTTCATCTGAGCTACATTAAACTGATTGAATGCCACTAGAGTAGTACAAGCAATTCCCATGTTAAGGAATGACTTGAAGAAATCTCTAGATACGAAAGAGCTACCTGTTACAAAATTGTAGATGGTTCACCTGTTACAGTATTTTAAATGTTGGACACCTGACCAACAATGTGATACAACACAAAATGGCAGATGGCATTCTCCTCTCTTGCATTGATGAATTGCTGAAGCTGTGCAATACTTTCATCAGCATCATTAAAAAAGTGCATGTGCTTTTAGTGCAGTATACAGGCTGTTTTCAACAGTTCACAAAAGCACTATGTGGCTTCAATAGTCCATCCGCTCCAGGAAGGAGAATGCCATCCACCATTTTGAATTGGATCATTTTGCCTGCAGGAAAAGTGAGGGACTGAATTCCAGCAGATGGTGAGAAATGAAATTCCAGTGTATTCTCCTTGCTGGAAGTCTGTTTCTCACATAACTCAGTTTTAAGGCATAAAACCTAAAGTTGTAAGTTTAAAATTTTACAAAAAGCTTTGTAAACATTGTTGTTGCTCCTTCCTGATATGAAGAAGTACAAGTACAGTAACCTGTTCCAACTTAAATACAAATTTGGGTTACAGGCAGAATTAAGGAATGGAAGTGTTTGTTCTCTGCGGACTATCTGTAGAACAGATATGTTACATAAAGGTAACTTTTAGATCTGCTTCTCCTTCAATTCTATGAACGTTATGTCCCATTTACAGATGAAAAGCTATGAAATACTGTCTAACGCAGCATGTCAAACTTGCGACGTCATGTGATGTCGCACAATATATTGGGACTTTCCCCCCATTGCAGCAATGGGGTGGGTGCGGTTTCGGCATGACGCATCTGGCCCGTGAGCCGATAGTTTGACATGCCTGGTCTAATGCTATCCAGAGAACATTATGTAAAGAGAGATACAATTGTAAAACTAAAATAACTAGGTTATTAGGCCTAGCTGCAGGGAGGGCAAAGCATTAAATGTTGAAATACTACCCCTTACATATTTGCGGGCAGCATTACAACACAAGTATGAAAGGGTGTAACTTGTATCATGGCGTTACAATGCATGATTCATCACTTTGCATGTTTCATGCAAACTAGGAATATATTAAGGACACTGTTGGTTTTACTATTAGCTGATTAATCATCCCGGCTGATGTTTGTACTTATTTATTTTGTGGATGTTTTTACTGTTTCAATGATTTGTAATTGTTTTGTTTTATAATTTTAGAATTGTAAGCTGCCCAGAGTCACTTGGTTCAGTTGGTTGGCTATAAAAAAACTGAATGAATAAATAAATAAAATATAGCCCCATCCATAGAGTGGTAAGGACTAAGCAGCATTAGTGAAAATAACCAATCAATTAGTCTCCCTCCTTCTGAGAAGGACACTTAGCTAGAGGGTGATGGGATGAAGCATTCTCTGAGCTGTAAGTTCTAGAAAGTCTAGATTTTATCCATACTTCTTATAAGTTACGCAATTGTTCTGTTTTGTGCTTCATCACAAGACTATTAATCTATATCCAATTGTGCCACCGTTCCAATTGTGAAGATATACTGTTACCGAGCAAAATACGCACCTGATCATGCTGGTTTGTATGCCTTAAGAGGTATCTTAGAAAATTTAATCGGGAACATTTACGAACTAGAATGAGATCTGCAGAGCCATCCGCCAGGTGAGCAGCTGGTGAAAGGCCTTTAGGACTCCGTGGACAGGCACAGCTAATGTTTACAGCATTGATGGCTAGAAACTTCCCTCTAATAACCTTCCATTCTCCTTCCTCATCCCCTGAAAGAGATATATTTGCATGTTGCTCTTGCTATTATCTGGCTTTTGAGCTATGTTTTAAGACATGCTTGACTCCATAAAGCAGTGGTTCTCAACCTGTGGGTCGGGACCCCATTTGGGGTCGAACGACCATTTCACGGGGGTCGCCAAACAAGGCTGTCCGCCATTTTTTCCCCCTTTTCTTTGGCCACGCCCCTAGCACCCGGTGATGTATAAGTGGTTGGGGTCACCACAACATGGGGAACTGTATTATGGGGTCACGGCATTAGAAAGGTTGAGAACCACTGCCATAAAGGGTGAAGTAATGGGTGGCAATTTTCCCATCCTTACATCTCCCAGACGTATGAGGAATGGTAACTGAGGTTCTAATCAAACTGAGTTTTATAACTGCTTTTCCTTCAAAATAAACTGAGTGATTTTTGCAAAAAAAATTTTTTTAAGGCAGCGTTAATATAATGCATAACTCAACCCAAGGTCCTGGGCAAAACAGGACTGCAGAGAATCACCTGCACTGTTAACTAAAATCCAAGTTTGGATATTTGTGCTGATTTCTTCTCAAAAGCTCTAAAATTACTGATAAATCCCTAAGTCTCATATAGGTCATTCTCCACTTACAACCATAATTGGGCCCAGAATCTCAGTTGAGTGAAGCAGTCATTACGTCAGACACTACATGATCACTGCTCTCAACAATCACAATCCCAGGTCTCCCAGTTGCAGTTGTTAAGTGACCACATAGGTTGTTAAGCACGGCACAGGACAGACAGCCCGGGCCTCCCGAACACAGGAGCTAGAAAGAGGACCTGGGCGTTCTACCACATCTGAGAGGCCTGGGCCCTCTTCCTGACCAACCTGGAGAACAATCACAAGAATGACAGTGTTTGCTAGTGTTTGGCCAGATTTGAGGTCTCTTCCTCAAGTGCACTGGGAGATTTTGGAGGGAAAATGCCTTGGCATGCTGTAAGAACAGAACTTTGGAAGTGAAAGTGCAAGCAAACCACAGCTTTCTGAAAGGCTCAAAATGCTGGCTTTCACTAGCATTTTTTGCCAGATTTGAGGTCGTTCCGCCAACTTGTGGAATGAATTTCTTCTCTCTGCATGGAAAAGAGGGGAAATCCCTTGGTGTGCTGGGGGAACAGACCTCAAATCCAATATCCCCTCCACTGGCAAACTTCCCTGTTGATTTCCTCATTGACATTTTGGGGAAGCCAGCAGAGAATGTTGCAAATGGTGATCCTATGCTGCAGATTGTAAGTGCAAACGGGTTTGTGGTCATGTGACCAGAAGGTCCAGTCCAACATTTTACAATGCCTGGATGTGATTTTACAGGCCATAAAGTACTCAGCTGTTTGTAGCCCATCAGGCTGCAAATGGCTGGTAAATGACTGGTTGTATGTTGCAGATTATCTGTATTTCTTTACTGCTTTTTATATCTATAATCTGTCTTCCAAGCGTTCAAGGCAGCCTACATTGTCCTTTTTCTTCTAGTATAGTCCAGATGGCTGGACTGTTTTTCTTATCATGCCCAACCAATTGTGGTAATGTACAGAGGAGACAAGACTTGAAGTTTTACAAAGGCTACTTGCTATCCCCAGTTCAGGGATATTTAACGTTTTATGCTTCCCATATCCCAAACATTTCCCTTAGATTTTTTTTTTTCAATATTGGCATGGACTTGAAGTAGAATTTAAACCAAGGAGAATACTCAGTCTGGCCAGTTCTTGTACTTCAACTGAAATCAGAAATCTTTGATGGCATGGACTGAAGCACAATCATGCTGTTTCTTGATGAGCTGAGAACCCAGCTGAAAACTGGAAATCTACTTGATAATATCAACAGCAAAGGAACAAGCAGTCAAGAGATATGCCATGGGCTAGTACTTGGTAGAATAGCCATGAAGACCTCAGAAGAGTTATTCCGATGCTGTGATGTGTCTACACTTACAAAGATCGGAATAGTGCAAGCAGTGGTTTTCCATTGCGACAGTCTAAGGCAGGGGTCGCGGCATGCTAGCAATCGGTCTGCAGGAACAAAGCCCCATCTGCGGGATGCAGGCAGCACACAAAACCACGCCCCCTCCGGTCCGCGGAAAAAACCTCTCTCCACGTAACTGGTCCCTGGTGCCCAAAAGGTCGGGGACCTCTGGTCTAAGGAACCAAAAGTTGGACTTCAAAGAAATAGGATAGAAAGTGGCTTTTACACCAAGAAAAATACAAACAGATTTCAGCATTACTTTAACTCCAAAGCTGGTAATTGAATACACTGCATTTACCATAGTTTCACAAACTACCAATTGCAGCATCTGCTATAAATCAGCATTTATACTGAATGATACTAAATCTGAAAAAAGCCTGTCTGATCATAAACTCCTCTGAATTTTCCTTGGGCTTCTATAGCAGTTAAATTCATTCTTTTCTTGTTCTGATTTGGAACCTGTCTTTATACTTGTCATCCAAATAAAAGAGGTATTAGAAACTAACTGAGCAAATCTAACCATTAACAAACAAGGTTCTACAAACTACAACATTACTTTTAATCTCCTTTTCCGTTTTCTTCTGTTGTTTCTCCAGCTGTAGTTTACTTTGCTTGCAAATCCGGCACCTGAACAACAAAAGTAACAACTTCAGTATTGAAAATATATCATAGGTATTTTAATTAATTAAAATTTAATTTAATTTAATTAATCAACATGACAGCCTATGACTCACTGAGTCTTTGTTTCAGAGCTATTTCCTTACCAGATTCCTCAGTGCCTTCAATAATGGCAGAGTTTCTAACGTACTGCCTTCATTGAAAAAGCTGTTAAAAATTCAGGGAGATATTCAGAGATGTTGAACTGTACAGCACAATCAGTTAGGAGTCAGAGGCAATGTTTTGTATTATGTCATGAAATGTTTTGTAAAATTTTCCAAATTTCAATTCCATAGGTTCTGGACTTATAGAATGTATTCTGTAAGTTACTCCACATGAGTTACCTTGGTTCAAAATATCTTTCTCTACGGTGCACTGTTTTGTCCAATTAACGGTTACACACAGGCAAGCTTGAGAATTTTAGTAATACATACGTACATATACCTAAACATACACACACATATATATATTAACACACATGTCTGTGTATATAAATGAATGACCTCTCTGCAGACAAAATGGATTTAACAGGGCACCATTCATTTTGCTGCATGATACTGTGTCATAAGTAGCATTTCAAACGTAATTTACATAAGCAGAAAATTTCATGCTTGATCATTTAGAATTGTCTTTGTGAATCCAACTTCTTTTTTTACATTCTTAAAATTTAGCCAAATTAGCAAATGGTATTCCTGTCTTTCTACTCAACAGGCACTTGAAGTGAACTAAATGATTTAGCCTACCCAGTTCTGCAGGGTTTCTTATCTCTTGGAGAGCCCATGGCAGGTGCTGCTGGTAAAAGAGATATTGTTCCCTCATAGTAATGATGGGAGAGGAAAGTCTTGAAACCTTGGGAGAAAAAAAATGGAAGAAAGCATTAATTCTTGCTTTGTCTTCTACCTATTCTCCCACAGAGCTGGAAGAGAACAAATATTTTACATCTGCTCATTATTCTGTGGATGTTTCCTACTACTTGCTCTCTCAGTGCCCCAAATAAGCACTTTTTACATGCAACCTCTTGGTATTGTCTACATCAGGGGTATCAAACTGGCGGCCCACAGGTCAGATACATCACGTGTAAGCCATGTTCACCCCGGCTCCACAAAGGCAAAAATGTCGCAATACGTCATGTGACACAATCAAGTTTGACACCCGTGGTCTACATGTTCCCTTTACATAAAGGCCACTGTTTGTGGGTTAAATTTCCACCTCTGCACTCAGTATTAGTGTGGTTATCCACTGGTCTCTTTTCCCTGGAGAGTCATTCTCTAGAGCAGAGGTCCCCAACCTTTTGGGCACCAGGGACCGGTTCCATGGAGAGAGGTTTTTCTGCAGACCGGAGGGTATGTGATTTTGTGTGCTACCTGCATCCTGCGGATGGGTCTTTGCTTATGCAGACTGGTCCACGGACCAGGGGTTGCGATCCCTAGAGCCGTATCTATCACTTTTTTTTCTTAGTAAATCTCCTTTATGTACCATCTAAATGTGCTCTGTAGACTTTCCTGACTTGGAGACTCAATGATTCAGAAAGAAATGCCTGCCATGTCTTCAACACCCTGATTATTCAGACATAGAACGGATATCAAGTGCAACAGAGGAGTGACCTGATCAACTAATACCAATCAAAGGAACATATTATTTCCTTAACTAGACTGTTGAGTGCAGGCATCATTCTAAGAAATAAACTATGGCTTGTCAACTGCATTGGCTAAATTTACAAAATATGGTAAGCTAAAAACAAAACTAGCATTGTGTAGCCTAGAGCTATGGATAATCTGCATCAAACTAATATTCACTGCTTAAGCCACAAATGGCTGGGTTTAGGACAGAAAACCTTAAAGCTAAATCCAGGGTCAAGTCAACCCTCCATTAGGGAAAGTTGGCTCATTCTATCTCACCAGGTTGTTGATGGGGAAAAAAAAATTGTGCTAGAGTTACTACTCAGAGCTCCTGAAGAAAAAATGGGATTAAAAAAAAAGTTCAAAATTGTTAGATTTATATCTCATTTTTTCTCCCAGGTGGTATTCATGATGAATTGCCTTCATTTTTCTCCACAATAAGATCACAGTGGGAGATAGATTATCAATAGAAGGGAAGAAGTAGGTTATGAAGGAACCATAATGGCACAGTGGTTAGAATGCTGTATTGCAGGGTAATTCTGCCCACTGCCAGGAGTTTGATCCTGAGTGGCTCAAGATGGACTCAGCTTTCTATCCTTCTGAAGTTGGTAAATTGAGGACCCAGGTTGTTTGGGCAATATGCTGACATTGTAAAAATGCCCATAGAGTGCTGAAAAGCACTATGGGGCAGTGTACTATATAAGTCTAAATGCTATTGCTATGTTAAGAGAGAGGCATATTCAAGAGAGAGCCGAGGTGGCGCAGCAGTTAGAGTGCAGTATTGCAGGCCACTTTAGCTGACTGTGTTCTGCAGGTCAGCGGTTCAAATCTCACCGGCTCAAGGTTGACTCAGCCTTCCATCCTTCCGAGGTAGGTAAAATGAGGACCCAGATTGTTGGGGGCAATGTAAATATATATATACATTGCTTACTGGTGTACACCGCTTAGAGAGTGCTTGCACTTAAAGCGGTATATAAGTCTCATAAATAAATAAATGTCAACTAGTGATTCTACACTACAAGAGGGCTTGGACCGAGGTCTCTATAGTTCTAGTCCAAATCAGTAACCACAAGATAACACGGGAACAATGATTTAATTAAATGTATTGCAATTTTAATAGAAAAGATTTAAAAAATGGTGGGGGAGGGGAAACCTGTTGGCTACTTAACATAAAAGATAGATGCAGAAGAGATAGAAGATGTTACCTGAGAAGTCATATCTGGCAGGGCCCATCCAGCGTTTCTGTTCACTGTCTTTTAATACATCTCCATAAAAACCATACCCCAATAGTGATACACAGTATTTCAGAAATGTATTATTGCGATGTACTGAACAAACATCCAGAGGTTGATTATCTCCTATTAACAAGAGGTATTTCATTACTGAGTCACTGTAAAACTGTCTTATATTATAACATCTAAGATATATTCATATATAAAATATTGTTAAATTTTTTAAAAAATTGTCTTATTTTTAAAATAAGACAGTCTGCAAAAAACTCCTATTTTCTTTATGTCTATAAAAATTATCAAAGAGATCTAAGCTAGACTTAAGGAGAAATGTCATGACAGTGAGAACAACTGATCAGGGGAAAGACTTGCTTCCAGAAGTTGTAGGCACTCCATCACTGGAGGCTTTCAAAAAGATATTGGATAAGCATTTGCCCAGAAGGTATAAACTCCTGCTTGAGCAGGAGAGTGGACTAGAAGACCTCCAAAGTTCCTTCCAATCCTTTTATTCTATGTTCTAGTTACAGTGAGAAGCATTACAATGCTCCTGTAGCAGGATAATGACCACTCTATCCTATTTATGACTAAAACGGAATGAAGGAGGAAAACACACACAGCCTGAAAATATATCCTGGCAAACCAGGATACCTGGAATAGTGATTGTGCAGAAGTGATAGTTGTGTGCAACCAACTATTAATCAGCTAGAAGTTGCTCACCTACAAGGGCAAAAAAATAACCTCAATAAGGAATGCATAACACAATGCTTCTATAGAACAAATGATACTAACATTGTGATGTCTGTCATCTGTGCTTTTGAGTCATACGTGGCTATAAACTGAAGTGGTTCCTCAGTATGACTTTTTGCCAGCAGAATGCTTTCATGGTCAGGTCCAACTGCCACATCTTCTATGCCACCATTGTATCATAAATTTTAGTGGAATAGCAAGGCTCCTGCAAAATCCTCAGCTAGCATTAATGACATCTTAATAGTCAGCAACTCTGTTTTGGTTTTGCATTTGATTTTTTTTTTCATTTGCCAATAGTAGTAACGATACTGGAAAACTTCTTAGAGTGTTTAAAATTGTGTCAATGAGCCCGAAAGCAAATTAATACTTACCCACAATGATATGTAATGCAGATGTTACTGGATCATTGATGCCGACTGTTGCATAGCATATGCAATCGGTCGAACCTGGAAAATAAGTGAACTTTACATTGTCTGTAATTCAAAAGCATTATGAAGACAAAAATCATCTTAACTGAGGATTAGGTTGCCAAAGAGAGCTGCAGATTTCACTTGTTTGGTCAGTTGTGTGGCTTCTGGGAACTATTAGAGACCTTGGGAGACGGAACAAGAAATGCTATGAAGGGAATGGTCATCCAATGAAGTACATCACAGGTGTCAAACTCGCTGTCTCGCGACATATCGCAACTTTTTTCGCATTGCCGAAGCTGGGGTGGGCGCGGCCTCCACATGATGCAACTGGCCCACGGGCCGGCAGTTTGACACCCCTGGAGTGCACAGTCCTCAGCTGCATAATGAGCAGAGAAAGAGGGTCAGGAGGGACACTCCCTTGCTTCTCGGGATATTAAGGAGAAGGTGGGAGATTTATACTTTCAGGTTTGCAAGATTCTGTTAATGTAGCTTTACAATAAAGTAGAACTAGCTCATCTGGTTGTGTTTCCAGGCTGGTTTAACTGGGAAGGCTAACAAACTGGTACTCTTTGCCAAGATTGGAGTAAAATAACTATACTTAATATGTACTTTAAACAAAAACATTGATTTGTCAGATAGACAAATAAAAATATAAATAAAAAGTGAATAATAAAAGTGTTAAAAAAAGTAAAAAGATAGACTAAGCAAGGGGTAGGCAACCTTGTCTCTTTTATGACTTGTGGTCTTCAACTCCCAGAATTCTTGAGCTAGCCAACTATATTTTTGGTTACTTTTTACACAACAGTGACTGCCAATAAATCCTCTGCAAGAGAATTAACATCAAGGCAGAGTCAACTGATTCCAGTGGAATACATCAATAGCACAGGCTGTCAGACCACCAGAAAGCACAGGTTTAATTGGATTGACTGTTGATTTGAACACTGACCCCCTTCTAACAGAAACTATAATTCACAATGGAATCTAAGCAACAGAGGTATATTTCCAGGCAGAAAATAAAGAGGAGGGGAAATCAATTTTCTGGGGAAAGCATCTTTCTTCCAATCCTTTAGAAAGGTATATTCTTGAAACCAGATTGAAATCTAGTGCTCAATTGTAAAACAAGAGCAGCCAGAGATTAAAAAATAAACTCCCTTGAAAATGATGTAGAAACTACAATTAAGCCAAGACAGTGCTGGGATGGAGTACCATATTTGGCTGCAAAAATTCAGCCGATGGCTAGTTGGCAGCAAAAGATACAGAAGACTCTATCTCTTTGCTGGCAAGGAGAGTGGGATTTTTGCAGCCCAGATCGACTGCCCTAGCATTAGGCCCTGGTTTGCTTTCCCCTTCCATGCAAATGCTCTTTTCAAGATTTAAAGTTCTTCAAAATTTAAAGTTTTTTCTTCACCTGTGCCTTCACACATAATAATAAGCCTCTGTAACAGTCTGAAATACAGCAGATGGCTGTTGGGAATGCAATGGGAAATTGGGAATGGTCTAACTATGAAAGAATACACATCTAACATTTATACTAAAGAGTCAGTGTTTCCAAGCTTTTTAATCCTCAAATAGTTTTAAATTGTGGTGGGTATGTATTTCTTCCTGCTGACTCCTCTCTATATTGTGGTCTTTTAATTTGTTTTTATCGTAAGTTTAATTTTGTTGTGAGTTGCCCTAGAAATTTCCTACTGATCCCATCTATGAGTAACTGAGTAATTCTGTGCCTGCTATGCAAAGAGGTTTAGGACATAGGCAAATAGTCATATGCTTGTTGACTAAATAAGTATACATTTATAAGGTGATTTCTTATACTGACCTGCAATGATTTGCATTGGATGAGTTACTCAGGTTAGTCAAAGGATAAGCATATTTCTTCCAATTATATATTAACAATGTTTTTAGTTATCTGTAACTAAAGCAAAAGCTCAGAAGGCCAATTTATAAAAAAAACATGCTCTATACTGTATGCTTTTCTTTCTTAGACCTTTTTATACTGCACTATACTGCTAATTAGCATAGTTTGGATATGGTACCAAGGTCTCATGTGAGTTAGAGGCTAAAATTTGTTGTAAAAATGGACAATTCCATGAAAGGATTTTAAGGATGCTGACAAATCATAAATCATACGATGTTTCTCGTTGGATTCATCCAATCAATAAGATTGGATTGAACTTATAGAAGCTGAGGAGAACACTGCCTTTCCATTCATTTTCACTTCCAAATTTGACCTTCACATATGCATATGTGAACAGGTTTCAATAAATATTAGGCAATCTAAGCAAGGCCTATAGTTCTAGGCAAGATCCAGTATCTGTTGAGGCTCCTAATTAACCATTATGCTGTTCCACATATATAATACTACTTTTTCATTTTGGTCCAAGGTGGTAAATACATGATAATAATGTACGGTAGAAGTTCACTATGTTGCAGTTCTTACCAGCAGGAATTATGCCAATCCTGAGACTGCATTGGACTAATTTTGCTTTGGGATTATTTTGATCTATGCCCGAATCCTTCTGAGATCTTCCAATTAGACCATGTATCACTTCACTGAACATTCCGTCCCCACCAACACAAACAACACTGCCGGAAAACACACAAATTAAAACTCACACAGACAGTCAATACATAAATGTGTCAAAGGACCTAATATGAAAATAATACAATTTTATTAAAAGTTATCTTTACACTACACTATTTAGTCCCTCCCCATGAGGAAACGCATATTATTACTTGAAACAATTATTTAATGCATATTTAAAATAATTTAGTTAATGAGGCCATGACAGGCATTTTTGGATATTTGGATAATAATTTCTTGTTTCTCCTGCTCCTGCATTAACACCTCGTTATGGAAAGGGGTTATTGTTCTGTCAATGGTAAATTTCATCCACATTCTTGTCATTCATAAATACTTATCTTTCATAATCACTAGAGCCTATTGCTCTTCTCTCCAACTCTATGGTTTGTCTCTAATAGCAAAAGCTACTCAGGATATACTGCACGTGCAGATGGGAAAGCATGTCAAATGTCTATTCCCATGGGCAAGATGGGAGCCTTGTGAAGAGAGTAGCTCAGTAGGCAGATCTTTCCCATATATCTGATACTTTGTACCTCTTATGATTGGATGTTGTGGCTAGACCCCAATTTCCCCATGATTGGTTCATATATCAATTACTACCCTAGCTGGATATGCCTACCTGTAGAAAAACTTCTTTCCTTGGCAAGGGTACTTACAAGATATCCTCCCCAAGGGGCCATCTCACATGGACAGATACCACTGTATCTATACTAAGTATGATTAGAACCATCTATTTATATAGGGATACTTTAAGGATTATATTGATTCCATGGATGGAGGTCCACTGAGAAATGTAATGGTATGATAAGAGCATATATAAAAATATTTAAAAAGTGTTCAATTTGTGATTTGTGAATTGTGATCACCAGCATCAGTAGATCCAAGGCATGCATCCCTTTGTCATTCAGTAACGTGCTTCTTTATGTTACAATTGGTCTGAGTAGCTGCCATGGCTCTTGAATTCTAATGCTTGGCTAATTATAATGTATGACTGAAAATATCAACCTTGTGCTCTCCAAAAATTTTAATTATAACTTCCTTAGGACTAGGAATTGTAAGTAACTATTTTAATTATTTGGAATTATTAATTATATAACCCAAAGTTTCTGGAGATACCAGTTTACCTGCTACTGATATACTGCACAAATTAGATGACAATTGCCCAACCAACTGGAGTATCATGAGAGTTCAAGTTCAACACAGTTGAAAGGCACCAGATCACCCAACATTCATTTTGCTTGCTATCTATTTTAATTTGTGATTGTGGGTTGCTATGGAAGTTCTGGGGGTGCCGAAAGATGAGATATAACTAATGCAAAATAAACAAATACAGGTAATCCTCACTTAACAAGTGGGGACTGGCAGCTCCATCACTAAGGGACATGATCATTAAGTGAGACTTCACATGACTGCGATGGAACCTCACTTCTCCTGTGCTAGTTAAGTGAATCATCCACAATCACCAAGTGCAACATCATGCAACCGTGACTTGTGAGTTTACTGCCGGCTTTTCCATTGACTGTTTAGTGGATGCCAGCTATGAAGCATGCAAATGGCAATCACATGAACGTGGGATGCTGCGACAGTCATGCGAGGGCCAGTCATGAAATTATTTTTACAGTACCACTGTATCTTTGGATGATTGCTAAATGGCAATTGTTAACTCAGATCTACCTGTAACTAAAAGTAAATAAAGTCAGATTCATTATGTATTTATTAGATTTACATCTGCCTTTTAATCAGGACAAGATGCCGTATGTAGCATTCCATTCTCCTACCTTTTCCCATAACAACAAGAATACCAACCTCTGTGAAGTAATAATAATAAATTAAAGTTATATGCCGCCCAACTCTCAACAAGTCTGGGTAGCTTTCTGGGTGGGGAGCCCAAAAGTCACCCAATAAGCTTCCATGGCTGAGGGCAGATTTGTATATGGATCAGGTCCAGGACAATTCCCTTTAGCTGTCTTGCTACACCTGATTTGCCTTGGTCAACTCACCACAGGACAATTCAACATGGGATAACTCAAGAGAGGGACAAGTGAATTGCAACGGGCCTTGTCTTACTTTAGGTTTGAACTCTTGGAATGGGACAACTCTCCCCAGCTGTCTCACTCTGGCCAACTCGCCATGGCTAACTCACCACAGGACAACTCGCTGAGGGACAATGCAACATGGGACAACTCAAGACAAGTGAATTGCAGCAGGCCTTGTTTTGCTTTAGGTTTGAACCTTCTCAAGTTAGAAATCCTCGAGGCTGGGCTGAGCCAGAGCTTGGAATTCCAGTGGCCTGTCGGCCAAGCCATGGAGCAAGCAGTCCTTGTGTGAATCCAGGCCACAGTGGGGCAGGATCAGTGCCTGAATGTCAGCAGAGCATTGGCCCTCGTAGAGAGCACTCCAGGAAGAGGCAGTGGCAGCAGGCCTCCTCTCAGATACACTGTGCCCTTGGCCTGGATCTGCACAGGGATTCCCCAGCATGCCACACTTGCTCCCCAGCTTGGCCGCTGGGCCTCCATGCTCTGGCTCATCCCAGCCTTGAGAACTTCTAACCTGAGAAGGTTCAAACCTAAAGCAAGACAAGGCCCACTGCAATTCACTTGTCTTATCCCATGTTGAATTGTCCCATGGCAAGTTGTCCTGTGGTGAACTAACCATGGTGAATTGTCCTATGGTGAATGGGAGACAGCCGAAGAGTTGTCCCATTCCAATCTGGATCTTCCTACTTCTAGTTCAATATCTGAATTGTTTGTGGAGCCCTACAAGACTGACTAATTCAGAATCACTTGGATTTCATGAAAAATCTTTATTTCTGGTAGGGTAATGTATCTTGCAAAAAGGAGCACAGTGGCTCACATGGTTAGGATGCTGGGTTGACAATTTACAAGCCTGTGTTCAAAGCCCAAGGGCTGCTCTGTGTCAGAGTGAGCTCCTGTCATTCGCTCCACCTGCTCACCTAGCAGTTTGAAGGCATGCCAACGCAAGTAGATAATTAGGTACCACTTTGGTGGGCTCATTAATGGGAACATGAAAAGAACCCCAAACGGGGCATCTCCTCAGCAATGGTAATGTCACCTGCTGATTTTTTCACCACAGTGTTTCCAACACAGAAGTAGTAGTAGTATGTATCTTGCAAGAATTACCAAAGTAATTCTCCCACATAACGTATACCAAGTGTACTTAACAGCCAGCTTGTATGTGGTGGCTGTGGGCCAGTTCCTCTCCTTCAGCCCTAAGTAGAAGGCAGTGGCAAACCATTTCCAAAAACCTTTGGAAAACCTGTTTAGGCAGTTGCCAGGAGTCAACACAACTCAAAGATGCACACGCACACACACAATATATAATTAAGGGGGAGTTACTCTGAGTATCCTTTTGTACTTTCCACTCCCTAGCCTCAATATTCCCTTCTATAATAGGTCTATTCCCTCCCTGAACTGTCTTGCTCTCTCTTCTATATTCCCAAGATCTGTCAGGCTTTCCCTCATGCTACTGCTCCTTAATGAATCATGCTTGGCAGGCAAAGAAAATTTTCATTTTAGAAAAAATTGCTTTTTAGGGAAAAAAAAAAAAGCAAAACACTCAACAGTGGAGCAGATATCATTTGCAAAACTGCTAGGCTAGAGGAATGCTATGCTGACAGATTGAGCTGAAACTGTATGAAGTTAGCACAGACTGCTCTCCTTCAAAACAAAACTAATGTATGATTTAACTACAGGATGCTTAGTTCTCCAAAAATTCAGTAATTTGTCTTAGCTTATTGCAACAAGAGTCAGAAAGTTATGCAGGTCAGGGTTAGCTGGAAGAAAATCCAAATTTTTCCATCAGGTCTACATTTTTTGCCTTAACATCTATGGGAGGTGCTTGTCACCTCTATAAAATATAAATATACACTTTGCAGTTGGAAATTTGGCAGCTTTACTTGGAAAAGCTTATGTTCTGTGACAATACCTTTAATACCATCAAACATTCACATTTGCCTAATCCCAGTCCTTGAGAAGAATTTGTGGTGGTTAAAAATGCTAACTTCAGTCTGAACATCTGGTGGTGCGTTGGCCCTCTTCTTTGTCACCAAGAATGCTTTTGCCCTCATACAGCCATTTTTAGAAATAAATAGTGAAGAGCTGCTTTCAAACTAAGTGGCATGGAAAAAAGAATAGAGGGGTTGGGCCAGGGGCGGAGGCCACATTCTCGAATCAGAAGGAAGTTGCTTATACATTTTGCATGTTAATATGCATGTGGCGTGAGTTAACAAATGGATGGCTTAGTCTGGATATGTCATGTAGGTTTGTGCTTTAGTGTGAATTTGTATCTTTTGCCTATGTGTATGTTTCTAAGCATCAGTTTGTCTGATATGAAATATAAATGCTGTTTCTCATGGAAACACATAAAATAATGGGATTCAAAGTCTATTTTTGCTTTGTATGTATTACTTTTATTCGGGAACCGACTTGTTTTCAACTTCCCCAGTTTGCCTTTGAGATAACATTCCAAATAAGAAGCTTCATGACAAATGTCTGTAAGAACACATCCAAGGAGTTTTCTTTCACACAAGGCCCCATTGTAGATCTACACTGCAAATTTGAGAATCTATCCCAGAAATGGCTAGGCATTTATGTAAATGCAAACAACATGTAAGTGGCTGTTGGAAGTTCAGCTCAATATGCATTTATTCATGAAATTTATATGTTGCCATATTTTGAGATGTTTGCAGTTTTAAAGAGGCTTGGCTTTATTTGAAAGTGTGAGTATATTTATGGATATGCATGAGTGCATGCGTGAGCTTGTATGTGTGTATATGTGTATGTCATGTGCCTGCATGTGCATATGTGTACATATATGGGTGCAAGCAGCTTTTAGAACAGGGGTTCTTAACCTTGGCAACTTTAAGACTTGTGGACTTCAACTCCCAGAATTCCTCAGCCAGCAAAGCTGGCTGAGGAATTCTGGGAGTTGAAGTCCACAAGTCTTAAAGTTGCCAAGGTTGAGAACCGCTGTTTTAGAATTTGTCAATATGTCCTTAACTTTCCTAACATTGGTTTTTATTTAATTTGCATGACCCTGCCTGACGGTTTTGCCTTCACAGTATTTTAAAAAACTGGGAAATTGCTTGGTTCTCCCGTACCCTTTGAAGACACTGAGCAGACACATGTGAACTCCACTTACATGCCCCACAACTTTCAGCAGGCTACAAACCCACCTCCATTCCACAGAGCACAAAATGTAGTGCATGTTACACTGAGCAGATAATGCAAAGCTGATTTTTTTGGTTTATTTTTACGAATGCAGACAGGGAAGGTAGGCTAAACATAAGCTTGGAAAAACAGACAAATTCAGAAACAGAGACCCCCCCCAGAAAAGCAGTCTGCAAATTGAAAAGAACAATTGACTTACAAAACAGTTTATCTGGGAGCATCATGGGAGGGGGAGTCAAAGAAGTCAAAATGGTAACCATAACTGCATGATCAAAGCCCTGCATATTAAAAAAAGGATGAGGCTTCAATCATGTGGTGGTAGCCACCATCTTTGCTGTTTTGACACACCCCCTTCCCCCATCCATAAGCTCCCAGTTCATCCCTTGGTAACAAATAGCAAATAGATCATCTGTACGATTCTTCTAAGTCAAAGAAAAAAAAATGTGAGAAAAAGAGAACTTACCCATCGTATTTTTCTAGATGAATTTCAAGTAAATTATCCTTAGCATGATTGGCATGTTCGGTGACTATATGAGAAAAAAAAATGAATCGATACTTTAAGACATATTTACAATGATATGGATAAAATCAGCTAAACTCATGAAACAATTTTTGAAAGTATATAATTCGAAAATATATAACTAATATTGATGATCACTTAGAACAGTTTTGGTTGAGGTTCATTTTTTCCAGCTAATGGAAAATGCACTTCTGCCAAAGGCATTGAGTAACCCAGGACTGATGAATTTATGGCAGAAGCCCTTGCTTCATATGACTTTGTATTTTCTAAATGATTCTTGTAATTCAAAAATAAAACTTTCAAGGGTGCATATTTATCTTCTTTGGCAACATTTCTTTTAGCATCACCAGTTTTTCTTTTTGTAAAGTGTCCATGTCCACCATGACAGTTCATTTCTAAAGGGGTGAAATCTTTATGACATCTCTCAAAACTGGAGTTTTATCCAGCAAAATGGATGGAGACACCCAGCTAATTTTATTTTATTTAGTTCATAGATTTAGGTAACTGCCCATTCAAATATATAGCCTTGGATAAATAACAGCTTATTTATCTCTGTGGCCAGTCTTAGAGCACATAGTCAAATCTGTTTTAGAAGTGAAGATTTGGGACCAGAATGGGGTTCAAATCTATCCACAGCCCTGGAAACTCACAATTTGACTAATACTAGTTACATTTCCTCAGCTCAACCTACTTCTTATTGTTTTTGCGCAGGTAATATGAAGAAATATTACTAACTAACCTGTCAAATAAGTGAGCTGTACAAAACAATCTGCTCTACAGTAGTCAACTTAGCAATTGTAATTTCCTGGGGCAAACCCATTGTTTCAGAGGGAAAAATGAGCCATTACAGAAATATAACAAAGTTAGTATTAAGCAGTTGTGTAAAAGAAAGCACTAAAAAAATCAACAGCTAAGTGGCAATCAGGTTCTTTAAATGAATAAAGTAAAACCTCTGGAATGAAAATGCAGCGTTTGTTTAGCCAGTAATGAGCAGAATCTTAAACAAGCGTGTCCTCAGAAAAAATAATTATTTTATATAGATTGATAATTTGTGGGAAGTACTTTCGTAACTTTAGCAATTCTGGCAGATGCTTTTGCTCAGTCATTTAGAAGCATTTCTCAGCATTATAATAATCATTAGGGTTTAATAAAAAGTGACTCAGCAAAAGAGAAAGTTGCTATATTTCTACTTCGCAATATTGCTTCTCAAAATGGACTATCTTGCAATCTGAATGTGTATCAGGACACTGTTACCTCCTAGTTCAGGCATGTCAAACTCATGACATATCGCAACTTTTTCCCCATTGCCGGCAATGGGGTGGGCGTGGTTTCGGCGTGACAGATCCGGCCTGCGGGCCGGCAGCTTGACATGCCTGTCCTAGTAGGTGGGATGTTGCATGGGGGTCACCAGATTAACAATCCAACTTTGAATGTAATTCTGTAATGGTATGTGGGGATGACCTTGGGAGACAGGAAGAAGAGCCTCAGTGGACATTACCCCTGAATTGTATCTGAAGAGGGATGAGAGGGAAGAAAGGAGAGGAGAGAGAAAAGAGTAAAGGAGGGGAGAAGGAAGTAGGAAGGTTGGAGGAGAAGAGGAGAAGTGGGGAGAAAGGGGAGGAGAGTGGTGAAGGAAAGAGAAGAGGAGAGGAAGAAGAGGGAAGTAGGGAAGAGAAGAAAGGGAGAAAGAAGGTAGAGAAGAAGGAGTGTGGATACAGTGAAAGGGGAAATGGGCGAGCAACACCAAAAGTCATGTGTGTATGTATTTATTTCATTTTATTAAAAGTATCTTATATATGAATGTAAAAAGAATGTATGTTAACATCTGATAAATATTACGGTATATGTATGGGGAGAGCTTGGAAAAATAAAAAATTATTAAAAAAAGGAAGAAAAAAAAAAGGAAGAAGAGCCTCAGACTGTGTAACAGTCAGGTAAGAGGCAGCTGAGTCAGTAGAAAGAATGGGGGTGTGGCAAACAACTGAAAAAGAACAACCTTAGTTTCTTGGACTGTAAAGGTAAGGAGAAGAAATTTATTTTCAGACTTCCAAGATTATGTTAATGTAACCTTATAATAAAGACAGAGCTATTATTCCTGGATGGGCTTGACTACCTGATAAGGCTGACATCAACTTTACAAGTTTGAAAATACTTTTCTTCTGTCTCCCAAGGTCTCCCATTCCTACATACCATGACAGAGTCCCTGTAATTTTCTTTCAAAAGCTGCTGTTTTTGAAAAAAGATAACTCTAACAAATGTAGCCAAAGTAAGAAATCATGAAGATTCAGAGAAAATGCAGAGCGATTTTGAAACATTCTTTTGGAAAGAGTTAAACAAGGAGCCTCCAGTGCAGCAAATGAAATTTTGTAAATGGGTTGAGCCAGCAAGATCAACTGTCACTCAGCAAGGATGAATAAATGTTGCATAGATTTGTGCAAGGAGGATGTGCTCATGGGAGAACAGAATGACCAAAGGCCAGAACAGGATGACCTTTAACATCCTGAATCCCCATGGACTCAATTCTCATAATTTGTAATTTCATATTCAAACAGAGAAATGGGTAAAAGCATGCTAACAGTGTTTGAAAAGCCCTGCTCACCATTAGATGGTACCGACTGATTAAAGACAGACTCAGATTATCTATACGGAGGGGCCTTTGTTTGCACATTAAGTCCATTTAAATGTACATTTGATCAGACTTTAAGAACCATTTCCAAAGGGAAGAGTGAGAGGGGAACAGAATTTCAGGCAGGAAATGGCAGCTGCTGTTAAAAGCAGTACAGACCAATCAGCTTGACATCAATACCTGCGAAAATCCTAGAAAAGGTAATCTACTAGCAGGTTTGGGAGCACCTAGAAATGAACAAAGGGATGACTGGAAGCCAGCCTGAGTTTGTTAAAAACAGATCATGCCAGACAAATCTTATTACCTTCTTTGATAAAGTGGCTAAATTTGTGGATTAGGGAAACGCTGTGGACATAGTTTTCTTAGACTGTAGTAAGGCATTTGACAAAATAGATGATGCTACTCTTTGATAAGATGGATTCTCAGTAAGCTGACCAACCACACACAGCAAGTAGTCTCAATGGAACTATATCTAAATGGAGGGAAGCATGCAGTGGGGTACTTCAAGTTCTGCCTTGGGCCCAGTGCTCAACTTCATAAATGATCTAGATGAGGGGATGGAAGGGGAACTTATCAAATTTGCAGACAACATCAAACTGGGGGAATTGTCAGCACTTTGGAAAATAGACTCAAGATTCAGAAGAATCTTGACAGACTTGAGCATTGGGCCCTATCCAACAAGATTCAGTGGTGAGAAAAATTAAAATCCTACACTTAGGCAGGAAAAACAAAAACAAATGCACGAGTATAGAACAGGGTGATACAACAAAAGTAACTGCAAGAGGGATTTGTGTCCTACAGGACCATAAGCTAGGTATGAGCCAGCAATTTGCTGCAGCAGCCAAAAAAGCTAATGCAGTTCTAAGCTGCATCAACAGAAGTACAGAATCACAATCACAATAGTACAGCTCTATAATGCATTAGTTTGGCCACACTTGGAATATTGTGTCCAGTTCTGGATGTCACAATAAAAAAAGAATGCCAAGACCCTAGAAAGAGTGCAAAGAAAAGCAAGAAAAATGATAAGGGGTCTGGAAGCTAATCCATATGATGAATGGTTAAGGGAATTAGGTCTGTCTAGCCCAGGGATGAGGAATCTTGGCTCTTTTATGACTTGTAGACTTCAACTCCCAGAATTCCTGAGCCAGCCATGCTGGCTTAGGATTTCCGCGAGTTGAAGTCCACAAGTCATAAAAGAGCCAAGGTTCCCCACTCCTGGGGAAGAGAGAAGGATTGGGGTGACATAATAGCCATCTTCTGATACTTGAGGAGCTGTCACAGGGAGGAGGGGTTTCAGTTATTCTCCAAAGCACCTGTGGCCAAGACAAGAACCAATGACTGAAGCTTGTTAAAGAGAAATCCAACATGGAACTAGGGAGAAATATGCTGACAGTAAGAACAACTAAAAATGGAACAGCATGTCTTTCAGAGTTGTGGGTGTTCCATCAATAGAAATCTTTAAGAAAGGAAAAGATTGGATAGCCATTTGTCCAAGATGCAACACTCTGCCTTGGGGAGGATGTTGGACTAGAAGACCTCCAAGGTCCCTTCCAGCCTATGAATCTATGAACAGTATCTATCTAGTAGGTATGCTGGAATGGAGAGTTGGTTAAAATGAGGATCATTTAGAGCAGTGTTTCTCAACCTTGACAATTTTAAGGCATGTGGACTTCAATTCCCAGAATTCCACAGCCAGCAATGGAAGTCCACATGCCTTAAAATTGTCAAGGTTGAGAACACTGATTTAGAGAGTGGATACTTCTTTTTCACTAGGCAAAATGGTTTTCCTGACAAGTTCAAAATTATGGCCCACAGTTAAATATAATTAAACAAGGTAACCAATCAATTGGCTTAATTATGCCAAGCTCTGCATGTGCTCTTCAAGTTCAAAGATGAAAAGCTGAAACATCTCTTTATGTAAACGAGCATCTTGGAGTTTAATAACCCCGGAAACCACTTGCCAGACTATTCCTAAAAATAACTTTCTCAAACTTAGTGTATTATAAGTGCTTTTGGATTACGACTCCTCAATTTCTTCAAAATTTCTGGAGGGCACTGAATTGGGGAAATCTGCTGTATGAGGAAACTATAATGCTGTAATTCAAGGCAGTTATTTAGAGGAGTCAGTAAACTCAAATGAATAACTCACCTATAACATCAGTCGCGATAGAAGCCAGACTAAACAACGGAGCCACTTTTTGTTCATATATTCTTTCTCCTTGTGATTTTCCACTGTGTGGATTAATATATACAAGCAAGCGCTTTGGTCTGGAGGCTGCCAACATGAAAGAGAGAAAGGAGGCCATGAGATTATTCGCCTTTTAGCTACTCTAGAAGTTGCTGAACTACAAATCCTCAAATCTCTTTTTCTGCTCAGGAAAGGGAATCTAAAGCTAAGTCCATTGCAACTCAGGATTTCTCAGTCATTACTGAAAGATTTCCAGAGGGAGAGCTGGCCAATAATTGAGTTCCATTATTGAAGTTTTCTCATTCTAAAGACATTTCTTCCAGCATTCAAATGTTATTTAAGCTCATTAGTCTGCCGAGAAAATAGATAAACCCTTGTTAAGAATTGTATTCTCCATGATGTCAATAGCTGGAGAATGTATTGTGTTTCTTCATATATTCCAACTAAATACACCTCAGCAAGTGTAAAGGCGAGGAGGCCCTTACGCTGCTTGAAATATAAGGATCTGCTTGCGCTCATACAATTTCCATCTAATTCAAAGTGTAGGCAACAACAGTGTAAGAGCCTCCATCATTACTGGCTTCATTTTTCTTTTCTCCTTCTCAGAAATTGGTTAGGCCCTGAGGGGAAAAAAAACACAAAGGACTGGTATTCTTTATCTGCAACATACTCTGTAAATCAAGTAGTTCTTTCAGTCTACATATCCATTGATTACACAGATGTTCATCAATGCACCAGAAAGTCACTTCGCTGCACCGCCAGCGGTGATGCTGTGCCCTCCTTATGTGATACACTGCAAAACATATACATACACAAATAAAAAGAGAATCACAGTTCCATACAAGCAATGTTGCTCTCATATATAATCACATGTAGCATTTACGTAATACTTGAGAATTTTGAAAGAAATTCATGTCTGAAAGCTGGTTGAGGGCACAGATGCTGAGAAAAAGAAAAGGCTGCAAATCTGGGCAAGGGTGCGCAGGGAATTCATCATCAGGTGACTCCCTGTCAATCTTTGAGATAGTGTCATTTCCAAGTCAGGAAATCTTAGCTGGACTAAATTTACCTGTATTGGTATAAAATATTTGCCCATCTCAGAACAAAAGATAAGGAGTTCTGCTCCTTCTCTGCTCCGTGGTCCCAATTACCACTGAATTTATGCGTGGCTAGAACTATGCACCAAAAAGTAATGGTGCTGAGCAAAGCTGTGAGAGAGTTGTTAAATTTGATTTAAGGCTAAATTAGTATTATTATTTTTTTTCAAATTTTGTGACTTTTTAGACTTTTCAGAATTTCCCAGCCCGCATGCTAGATAGAGAATTCTGGGAGCTGAAGTCCACATACTTTAAAGTGGTCAAGATTGAAAAACAGTGATTTAAATTGATTCGGATAAGTTAAATAAGGTTTAACTTATTCCACACATGAAAGAGTTTCCCCTTTTCATTCTGTTCAAAATCACATTTCTGCAGCCGCTATTGGAGAGGGTTATATTTCTAAGGTTTCTAGGGCAATGTATACAGTCCACAGCAACTTGCCAACAATCTTAGAAAATAACGTAGGGTCAGGTTTATGGTTGAAGTGTTGGATTAAGAGTGGACAGACCAAGTTTTAAGCCACCTTCATTCACAAATGTTCTCTGGGTAACTTTGCATTGGTCCTTTAGCCCCACCTACCTTACAAGGTTGTTGTTGTGAAAAAAATAAGATGAGGGCATGCAAAGTACACTGTGTTCAGCTAAATGAATAAATTAGTGATTCAGTCTTGTTTTCTGCATATTATGTATGGATTAAAAGAAAAGCAGACTGTGTTGGCTTTGGATACTTGACTGATTGATTGTATTTCTAATCTAATTGTTTCTCTGAGAATTTCAAGGTGGGGGACTCCCCTTATTTTATCCCCATAACAACCACCCTGTAAAGACAGACTGAATCCAAACAAGCTTTCTGTAATTAAGTGGGGATTAAACCTGGCGTCTATAACCCAAATCTAATACTCAATCATTACATTATACCAACAACAATATAAATTTATTTGTGGTTCCAGGGTTCCCCCCCCCCACTTATTAATCTACATAAGGTTTTTGTGATGAGGAAAATCAGAGAAATTGGTTGAAATTTCCCAATTAAAAATTCACTGCACGAAGCAAGGAGATAATATTTTAAATCTGTAAAAAAGCTCCTTTCAAAGATCTTGTGTAAAAAGAATCTTTCACTGCTTAAGAAAACCATTTGTCACAGATAGTTATGCATATGAGTTTTCAATGTGCAGAGAAAAAAAAGGAAACTGTAACAATTTGGACACCTAGGTTTATTCATTCATTTAGTTCTCTATGTTAGATAGTTTATTTCATCAATGCAGAATATTTGATTATCATTGGATATCATGCAAATGAGCGATGTGGTGACCTTGAAAGGTTGAAGGTTCAATCCTAGGTAGTGGCAGATGTTTCTCTTCTAGGGCACAGGAAAAAAAATCTAGTGCAAACCCACATAAGCATCAGAAAGGGCATTCAGCTAGCTCCAACCAGTCGCCCCAACTCTATGTTGGTCATGTAAAAACTATATAAGTTAGGCAGACCTTACTCTGCAGCATTTACAAAAGTTTTGAAAACTGAACATATGGCATGACAGAAATTCTGAGTTCTAGGAGCCAAATAGCAAGAGATGAACTATGAAAATGGGAAAAAAAAAGAATGACTTGTCATTAAAAGACATCTTGATAATCCGCTTTCTGCAAAGAAGGATTTCTGCATAGAAATAATTTGATAAGGCAGTCATAATTGTAGCTACTGCAGAAGAGGAACATTAAGTTTCATCAGGATTCCTTCCTTCCTTCCTTCCTTCCTTCCTTCCTTCCTTCCTTCCTTCCTTCCTTCCTTCCTTCCTTCCTTCCTTCCTTCCCTTCCTTCCTTCCTTCCTTCCTCCCTCCCTCCTTCCCTCCCTCCCTCTCAGGAAGGTATGTGAATCCAGCTTCTCTGATTCCATATATTATGCAAACCCAGCATGTCAATTACTTTATTTGCACTAAAATATGGCTTATTGTTTTACCGGTGAATGCGTGAGGCTTTGCCATTTTTTGCCATCTTCCAGCATGAGATTGTTTCCCCTCTCCTTCTTTCTCCTCAACAGCAATGATCTCAGAAATGGGCACAGCATAGCTTTCTGCAAAAAAAGGAAGAGTTGTAAAGTAAACAAACAGCCTGGCTGGACCAAAACCAAAGGAATCTCTTGCGCAGTATTTTCTATTCCTGGTGGCCAACAAAAAGTCTATGGGAAGGCCAAAACCAGAACACTATCTTTGTAACAAAAGCATAAACATTCTTTAGGAATTCACTTCAGAGGACATTTAAATTAAGCATGTTGCTGAAGAAAAGCAGAAAAATCAACTCTCAAAATTCTCTGAAGACAAAATCTCTGGTCCGGGTAACTGATCCAGATTGGATCCTGCAACATTATCCCGGAACACGTATATTCGCCTTCATTCTCAAAATACATTTCATGAATGTATTTTGACAGGTTGAAATAACAAGGTTGATCCAAGGTACTAGGGGATGGTCTCCAACATATGTACCACACAGTATCTTTTTTAGTAGAGCCAAAAATGAAAATATTCTATTCCGGGAAACTTGGATGGCGGAAGGAATCCAAGTGACATGTATATTGATTCTACTCTTATTTTTAAATGTGGAAAGAGATCAGTGATGGGATACAGTACAGTTCTCCTCAACCTTGGTAATTTTAAGATGTGTGGACATCAACTTCCAGAAATCCCCCCCCCCACCAGCCAGCCCTGCCTCCCCTCGCAGCCCCCTCACCAGCAGTCCCCCTGGTGGAGAGTCACTCCTGGGTGCAGCCTGCACGGAGCAGCGCAGCCAAGGACATAACCAGGCAACAGGGACAAGACTCCACCCTTGTGCCCCATAGCTTGCAGATGATGCTGTGGGGTGAGGGTGGAGGGCTTGGCTGCCATGGCATTGTAGGGCTGCCTGAGCGATCTGCGGTGGGCCATGGAAGCGGTGCATGGCTGGGGCTGGAGGCGGAGCGGGGACGGGGCTGTTTTTAGCACTCAGTCTCTAAAAGGTTTGTCATCACTGATTTAGGAGTTTATGAGGATATCAACTTCATAAAAGAAAAGTTGCAAGCAGCCAATGTTTATGAATAAAATCTAAATCTTTGAGTAAAATTTAGAATATAGATTTGTATCTTATGGCTAAGTATAACTGCCCCAAGTCCCTCCTTGATGGAAATGGGCAATTAGGACACAGGAAATACAAACAAACAAAGTAGCACAAATGTACACCATGGCTGTCAAAAATGGGACTTATATACTGTGTTTCCCTTAAAATAAGACCCGGTCTTTTATATATATATATATATATATATATATATATATATATATATATATATATATATATATATATATAATAAAATATAAAAATGAACACTAGGGTAATAAAAACTAAAGAAGTTTTTAATGGGTTAAAACTATAAAAGTTTTAAAAAGCGCCAAGCTTTCGCCGTCACCTGCCGGCATTCTGTTGGCTGAAGTCCACTCATCTTAAGAGTTAAATTTAAATTTAAAATATACCATATTAGGATTGGCTAATCAGTAAGAGAAAGCTGATGCCTATAATGTGTAGAAGATCAAGAAAGGAGGAAATGCTAAAGATATTAAAGGGCAGACAAGGCATGAGAGAGGAAGTGATTCATCTTAACTGAAATTAAAAAAATCAAGAGAAATAACTAAGAACAAAATGTATTCTAGCATTTGTGACTATGAGACCAGAGGGATAGTTCCCCAAGTCTTTTTTGTCATTAAAGAGAACATCACATACCCCTTTTACTCTACAGCGTCTGTAGGGAACCAATCCCTGGCTAGCTTTATCTGGGTTTGAATGCTATGCAGATTTAGCTTCCAAGTCTTGCCTTAGAACTCAGCAATGAGTGAGTGCATGGCTTGGAACTATTCAGAGAAGTTGATGTGCTATTCCTGGATTGCCTCTTTGCTGGTAAACATATGTCTCATCAAAATATTTGAATGGATGCAAATATTTATATCATTCTTAAAAGCCATAGTTTATTAATTAGAACTGCTTTTTAAGCCATAACCAATAAGTTCTTGGTGCTCACTCCAAACCCAAAGAAACTATTTTATTGCAATACATGCAGATCCCAACACCGGGAAAATCCCAAGTACTGTAGATAGCTTTTTAAAAAGTCCCTGAAAAAAGCAATAGCAACCTAATTCCATATTATTACCAAAATAATTACAAGAAGTTGTCAGCAGCTGAGTCTGACTTACTTACAAATCACATTAGCCAACGTTTCTCCCAGCCCTTCAATTCTCTTACTGAACCACCCAGAGGAAAAAGTAGTTTCTTGCTGGACAACTGCAGCTTTTCTGCTTCTTTCTCAAGACTCCAAGGAGGGAGCTTTATCTCTGCTGTTTCACTATACCAACAAAGAGGAAAAATAACAGCGCTCAAAAGAAACCAGCATGGCTGCATAAAGAACTCTCTGACAAATTGAAAGATAAAAAGGACAAGTATAGAAAGTGGAAAGAGGGGCACATAACTAAGTCAGGATATCAACAAATAGCCCGAGCCTGCAAAGATGAAGTGAGGAAAGCCAAGGTTCAAAATGAACTAAGGCTTGCAACCAAAGTCAAAAATAACAAAAAAGCTTCTTTCAACATGTAAAAAACAAGAAAAAAGTGAAGGAAACAATTGGTCCATTAGTGGGTGAAAGTGGCAAGAAGATGACAAGCAATAGGGAGAAAGCAGAACTATTTAACTCATTTTTTGCATCTGTCTTTACACAAAGGGAAAAAACAGACCTATCAAAAATAGTGCCATAAAAAACAGTATAGAAACACAAGTTAAGATAGGCAAGAAAATGGTAAGTGAGCACCTGTCCAGCTTAGACGAATTCAAATCATCGGGACCAGATGGATTATACCCCAAAGTTCTTAAGGAACTGGCAGATATGATCTCAGAACCACTGAACTATATTTGTCAAAGATCCTGGAGCACTGGGGAACTACCATAGGACTGGAAAAGAGCTAATGTAGTTCCCATCTTCAAAAAAGGAAAAAAAAATGGATCTAGGAAATTACAGATCTATCTATCTATCAATACCTGGGAAGATTCTGGAAAAGATAATCAAACAATGAATCAGCGAACACCTAGAGGCAAACAAAGTCATTACTAAAAGCCAACACGGGTTTGTCAAAAACAGATCATGCCAGACAAATCTTATTGCATTCTTTGACCAAGTGACTATACACATAGTGGACCGTGCCCCCTATGATGAACGAGAAACGTCTCTAAGAAACATAAAAAAATGGGATGTATCCACCCTGCTTTAGGACTGGACTAATATACAGTATATTGTAGGCTGGCAATCTGGTAAAAACCACTTGTAGTAAAGATTTTTGGCTGACCGTCAAGTCATGCAAAGCTAATGGTCAGAAAGAAAGCTAAGATTTTCTATTAGATCTGCCAGTTTACTGGATGTCAGTAGCAGAAAATACCATAAACACAGTAATTCCAAAAACACTGAATGCTGCACACTGAAATTACTGAATATGCCATAAACAATACTGAAAATACAGTAGCGGAAAATATCTTAGTAAATATCAGGAGCAGATTTTTTTTAGGTAAAGAATTCAGCCCATCTAAAGAAAAGCATAATCTGTAAATTCAAAATACTGAAACTTCTTAGAAGTGAGTTCTGTTAAAGCTAGGTACGTTTCCTTCAAAGAACTGGGATTGGGGCAAAGGGTATCTTAGATAGAAATTCCTTTCTTACATAGCTTCTTTTGTGGGGTTGTTACTTTGGTAGTGGAACACTTGGTTGATGTGGCTGGTTTTACGATAGACTTGTGTTTTTAATTTGTTGAGGAAACAGCCAGGAAGGGCAGTGTGGTATTGTTTTCTTCTTCCCTAGTGAACTTTATTCCTTTGAAGATGTTGTTGATAGTTTTGTGTATATTCTCTGATTGGTCCTTTTTTATTATGACAACAGTGTTATCTATGTATCGGATCCATAGGATCTTTGCATTCCATTCTAAAACTCCCACTTATCAATATAATGGTAGGTTATTAATCTGAATTGTGTATCTTAAAAATCTCACAACAACAGGCCTGGTCCTTTGTCCTGAATAGAAACAGAGGCAATACTATAAGCAATTTCAATTTGTAGTTTTTTTAAAAAGTATAAATTAATTTGTAAACTACAGGTGCTCAATGTCACAATGCATGATTAAAAATAATAAATTATCTATGTCTTTAAACAGATCACTTTATTTTTCTTTATTCTCAAAACTGTTTTACCATTCATGGCATGCTGTTTATCAGAATTTTGAAGGTGATTAGTTCGTTTTCCATGTGAAGAATACTAAGGGGTTTTTTTTTTTAACTTTGATGTAAAATTTCTGCTTTATCTCCAAAAATTTCAGTTTCATTCCATCTAATGCAGTTTTTAACTGTGTAAATTCATTTTAAAAGAGTATAAATTCTGAGGGAAAGCATTTAAAGTAATATGCAACTTTGCATATTTTTTTAATTTGCTACTTTCTCTTATTCAGAAATAAGTATAGTAGAAGTTGTGGTTTTTTCATGTTCATCTGAGGAGTTTTCTGTTTATCAATTAAGTCATAAAATAATCAAAGATGAAGAAGAGACCTTTAATCATTCAAATTACTATGCTTGGAAATTCCTTGTGTCATAATACTAACCACTAGTCAGCAAAGCACCCTTTTAAATGCTTTGCAATATATTAATATATTGCTCTTCAACAGAATATAATGTAATGAAGTTCACGTTACATGGGAAATAATACAATGACATTTGATTTCCAAAGGTCAACTGAAGCAAAATATGTTTGCTTAGCTGAAAAAAAATGCAGGAACAAGGATAATTTCCTGGAAAAAAAAAAGAGGTTTCCCAACATATGGAAACTAAAATATATAGGGAGAAGAGATCATTGTAAAGGAAGAAGCAGTTACAGGGAGGAAGGCACTGTGGATTCAAGAATTGGGAAAGACTACCACTTTAGCTTTTATGCTGATGAAATAAACATCCTGAGGTATTCTGAAATGAAAGCTAGCAATTATCTGCCTGTATTGAAAGAAGGATTCTTTCAAATGGACAGCTCCTTGGGTTATTGGTTAAAAGCTTATAACATCTTTCCTTAATTAATGGACATCCCCCCCCCCAAAAAAAGGTGTGGAGAAGATGTAGAATTGTTACCAATGGTAAATCGTATCTAGATTTTTTTCGCCCCATCCCTGAAAAATGCAATACTTGAGGCAAGGTGATTTACATAAGGGAAGTCTTTCTAAAAGCACATTTAATTACAGCTTCCTTTGACTGTAGTTCAGATAAGATAGTTGGATGATTGGGTCTTCTGGATATGTGGATTTCTAAGCAAGGGATCTGCTGGCTAGGAAGTTGATGTCCACTTATGTGGAAGGTGTCCAGGTTGAGGAAAGCAAATATATGTGGAGAATGTAGTAGAGATGGACTACAAGAGGAGGTCCCTTTGCTTAAGAGACCTTGCAGATAGCCAAAAAGCATTCATAAACTTTGAAGAACAATGATAAACCTATGAGCAATCGAAAAAGGCTGGAGTGGAAGCATGTTCTGGAATAACCAGATAGGCCGGCTGACTGTATGTCTCATTATTCACCACAAGTGATGGGTGAGTCTCACGTAACAAGACGGCCTTTTAGATTATGCTGTACCTCAACATTTAGTATAAAATCTCCCAAAGAAGAGATTATAACCATACAATAAACCTGTTGCCTGAAAAGTTAATTATATCAAAAGTTCTGCAAATTGCATTTTTGTTGTAGTTGTCATTCAAGCTGCAGCAAATCCAGAAGTTGTGGTTTCTCTGGCCATTAAAAAGTCTATGATGGCTTTGGTAGAGGAAGCTAATCCATACATATTATACGGTACATGCAATCATAGAATGGCAGAAATTTGTTACTGACACTGAGAGCAGACAAACTATTGTTGACACTTTTCAAATTGGATTCAAGTATATATGCTTCCTTGACATACATTGGGGATTATCAATAAAAGTTCTACAGATTTTTCAATAGGCTCAACAGACATTGACTGAGAAAGCAAATGTTTCGTGTGGTTATTTATGTATAGTACACAGAAGTAAAACTAAACCAATCCACAATTTGTTGTCAGATAGGAATGATTCACCACCGAAGATTAATAAAACTATTATAAAACTTTTCACAGCAGTTGTTTAAATACCTGCATTTACCACTATAATGAGGGAAGGTTACAGCTGCCAAATATTGTATACTACTTACACAACTTATACTGATTTTAAAAAACATTGGTGACTGGGGAAGGGACAGACAAGTTAAGCTCAAACATTTCCTAAGATGTGGAGGTTCTTGACAGCAAGCTACATTTGTAAAAGATGTTTCAGAACTGGACCAACTAAGTCAGTTAATTATCCTTCCTTTCACAATACAGGATCATAATTTGACAAATAATGAAACCAATACTGAAAGGGGTGTGAGGGTTTTCTTTAGGTCCCATTAAAAAAAATGGAAGTAGGGCCTTCATTTACGGGCCAGAAGTGTCCCAAACAGCTTAAGGATTTCAATAACTTTTCAAAGGTATAGACACTATTTTTAGTAAGATACCTAAAGGCAACCTCCTAAAATTAACAGACCAGCACATGAATGCATTTGGTTCCAAAACTCTCTCAAGCTGCTTTAGTATACTAGAGTTCTTGTGTGTTTGTACATGGGTGCCTTCATGTCAGTGTTGACTCCTGGCAATTGCTGAACACGTCCCTGCAGTTTTCTTCTAATCCCTAAAAAAGACATTAAAGTGTTGCCTTAGTAGGTCTGCTTCACTTCAAAAGAACAAGGCACAGAAAAAGGCCTAAGCCCCTTTGGCATCTTTTGGACCTTGCAAATTAAGAAGGTGACTGTTCCGTGGGTCAGCACCTTGCACATGCCCAAGGACCCGGGTGCACATCTCCAGATCGGACCCACCAGGCTGGCGTGCTCCCCTTTGGAGGGAAGCCGGCGAGGTCACCGGCGGTCACTCACCTCGGCCCCTGCGCGGCTGCGGCTCCAAGCTCCGCCACGCCAAGAGCCCCAGCTCCCGGTCTAAGGTGACCTCCTGGGCGCGCTGCTCCAGCACCAGCAAGGAGATGAGCTGGGTCCGCCGGCCAGCCGGAATGGACCGTTCGCCCATGGCTCTTCAGTGACTCGGCGTCCTTAGCTTCGGCGACATGATCGGGGCGCTCAGTCCAGAGCTGGGCAAGCGCCGCCGCCGCCACCGGGCGGGCCGCGTAAGTCTGCCGGTCGGATGTTTTAGAATCTGTTATCCTTCAGAATTTGCAAGCCCGCGCGTAGGGAGCATGCGCGAGAAGGATTTGCGCAAGCTCAACAGCAGCGGCAGCGGCCACGGCGCGGTTGTCTAATACGGCGCTCGTGCTTCTTCCGCGGCTTAGCACGATGGTCTGTTGGGGGGGGGGGCTCCAGAAGAAGGCCAAAACTCGGGCGGTGGTGGGGGAGATACTGCAGAGCGGATGGATCGGCCCAGCCTTCTCCCGTTCCTCCTGCTGGAACTGACCTTCCTCTGTCTGCAAACCTGCCAAGCCCAGCCAGTGTAGGAAAACCAGGCTGCCGTCGTCGCCGCCCTCATGCCAAGTGGGCGGTTGCAAGACGCCGAGCCAAGTTGGCCCTTGGCACCGAGGTGCCACGCTAGAATCCCCTTTAAGCGCTCTCGGAGGAAGCGCCCTCGAGCTGGCGAGACGAGTTTAGCTTCCTTGCACTTGACTGTTAGGCGACCTCGTAGTTGCCGTATTCTTTGTCCGACGGTCGAGAATCGGGCCCTTTAACCTTCCCTTAAAACAGGCTTCCACGTCGGCTTGTTTTTTTTTTTTAATTTAAATAACAAATCAACCCGCAACCTCTTCTCTCATCCTATGTCCGGAGAAACAAAGGTGAAAGATGATCTTATCTTTTTTTTTTTTGTTTTGTCAAGTCTTTCGCATTCTTCTGACGGAGGATGTTGTTTTTCAAAAAGACATCGAAAATGGCAAAATGGGCAGCTTTTCAAGGTTGTTCCAGATTTGCTTCCTTTAGCTCTTAAAGGAAGCTGGAAGTGTAAGGATATGGCCCATGTCCATATCCTTACACTGGTCAAGAGAAACTGTTTGGCAGACAAATGTTAAAAATAGCCATCCCAAAGCCTTATTTTGCAAAATGGAAGTACACAATATGATGGTGTGTTTGTAGCAAACTAGAACATAATTAGTTTATCATAATTAGTAGCTGAGTATTGCTAAACTTTGGATGCTGTGCTATTTTTGTGCATATTTTCCTATTCAGGTAAAAAAATGGTGGAAAAATAAAGGAGCCATACTTGTTCCTGAATCTTATTTTTTAGGCATACAAAGCTAATGTCCAGCACAATGTATATCCTGTATTTCCAACATGGAGTCAGGGCACCATATAGTTCCCAGGAATGTTTTTAGAAAAGTAGATGTTAGCTGGATGTAGCCCAGATATTTGGTTGCCTTCTAGTAAACTGTTTTTTTATAACTGGCCATTTTGTAAGAATGGCCATAATATGCTTTCCAAATTCTAAATATGTTTAGTGACCTCAAAGGTTTGGGAACCTCTGCAATAGGTCCTATAATGTAAACATTCTTATAATGTTTTCAAATCTTATCAGAAATCTCCCTCCTGAAAGGAGAACAGTGGGATCTGAAAGATTTTGGAAAACGGGGCAATTCTTGCTCCAGGTTTATCAGTATTCCACTGAGTGAAAATAGAGGTACAGGTAGCCAATGACCATTCGTTTAATGAGCATTCAAGTTACGACAGCACTGAAAAAAGTGACTTATGACTGGTCCTCACATTTATGACCATCACAGTGTTCCCCATGGTCGCGTGATCAAAATTGGGCGATTGGCAACCAGCATGTATTTTACCTTTTGCAATCTTCTGGCAAGCAAAGTCAATTGGTTAGCCAGATTCTCTTAAACATGTTACTAACTTAACAAATGCAGCGATTGCTTAACCACCAAATGGAGCAAAACTCACTTAACTGTTTTGCTTAGCAACAGAAATTTTGATTGTTTTGACAAGTCTTCGATTGTGATCATAAGTCCAAGCCTATCTATACTTAAGCTTCTGAATATGCAATAGTAGAAGTTTTTGTTCTAGGAGAAGAATGGAGAATATGGGTGTGAACCTGAAGATGTTCCTTGCAGAATGCCTTCAAAAGAACAATTCGTGCTTTTTTTAGGGAGCTGTGTTTGTCTAAACTCCATTTTTGGAAAAGACCTGAATTGGGGAAAGTGCTGGAGAACTAATACTCAGTTTTGCTAACTAGAAGCATTTTCAAATGTTAAACTGAAGAATGATAGAATGATAGATAGGATGGAAATTTGGGGATACGGGCAAGCTTCAGGTCATACCAATCTCAAATTATATAATTGTTTTTAAAAAGAAATATGCATTCACGTGGATTAAAAGCAAAATGAAACTATGACATTTTCTGATGCTCTTAAAAATGAAGCTAAACTTTGGAGAATTGGTGAATAATTCTACCAACTTGATCTAATAAAACCAGAAATCAAATGTACTTCTGGATGACTTCAGTTCTTGACGTCCCAATCAAAGTCATGCTGTAGCAATTCCATCTTTCTTGTCCTTTAATATATGTGGAACAGAACCCCCCCCCCCAAGTGATAGGAAACCATAGGAGAACTATAAAGCAATAAGGATAATAGGTGATTTTAACAAGTTAAAAGATGGCCTGTTAACTAATTTTCTGGATTAATGTTTCATAGCTTTAAATTGTTTATAGACTGCAAAGATTGGGTTCCCACAACTTGCTAACAATAATGGAATGGGGGAATGACCTTGGGAAGTAGGAGAAAGAGCTATAGACTGGGCAAAAGTTATGTAAAAGGCATGTCAGCCCGCAGAAAAAGGAGCATGGGAAGTGTTTCATAAGAGGCTCTCTCTAGTTTTCTGGAGAGTCAAAGGAATGGAAGGGGAAAATACTTTGGACTTGCAAGCTTCTGTTAATGTAACCTTGCAATGAAGATAGAGTTAATAATGTTGTGTGTCTTGACTATCTCAAAAATCCAACACTAACACTGACTAATTCTCTCACATGCTGGTAGGTAGGTAGGTAGGTAGACAGACAGACAGATAGACACAGATTTTTTAAAAAACATCTGTCTTGGAATGTTTTATGTTTTAAATTATGTTTTAGTTTTTTTAGCTTTAGAGATATAGTTTATAGTGGTATTAATAGCAGTATTAATATTCTGTTCTATCCTTTTAGCTTGCGTTTTATACCTGGCCTTTCCTTTTTTTTTACTTCCAAACAGTTTGTTAGTTGTTTTGTTCTTTATGCTCTTTGACTGAAATAAAGTTTGAACTAGAATCTGAAGAAACTTTCCTTATTTTCTTCTCGGGTGATTCATATCACTCTTATATTGTTGAGGAAAACTGCCTCAGAGTGACATAATTACCCAGAAAATATTTTCCCTTTGCATGAATGTAAACACCACTCAACTAATGAGTTTTAGAAACATGCTTTTCTAAGTTAGGTTCCCTTACCTTAGAATACTGAAAAGTAGCTGGCTATTTAAAAGTTTAATAGAATTTATTATTGAATATAAAGAGACTCTATGGGTTCTGCAAGATGGTGTAATATTTTATGATTTGCAATTTCAGAGACCTCACATAAATTGGAACCTACCTATCAGACCAACCTACAGTATATTTGTGGAATTAAAAGTGTTAAGGTCTAGCATACATTGAATAGTAAAATGCCTATTTAAAAACCTTAAAGACTCGTTGACATGGAAACAATGGAGATCTTGTTTTCTTGGCATCAATAAGAGCCGAGGTGGCGCAGCAGTTAGAGTGCAGTACTGCAGGCCACTTTAGCTGACTGTTCAGCAGGTCAGCAGTTCAAATCTCACCGGCTCAAGGTTGACTCAGCCTTCCATCCTTCCGAGGTAGGTAAAATTGTTGGGGGCAATGTAAATAAATATATATATATATATATATATATATATATATATATATATATATACACATTGCTTACTGGTGTACACCGCTTAGAGAGTGCTTGCACTTAAAGCGGTATATAAGTCTCATAAATAAATAAATAAATAAATAAATATGGTTTGTCATTTCCTTCTATACCTTTTTTAAAAAATACTCTGGACTAACTGTAGCTTGGGGATTTCCAGGTAGTCTCCCATCCAGATAATTAGTAACTTTTTTGAATAATCAAAACTCAGTTAAGATTGATTACCTGTTATAGGCAATATATACCTGAACATTATACTCATATGTCTAAAATAAATCCTTTGAAGTCAGTGTCCTCCATTCTCTGGATTTTATATCTCTAAAGCATATTTCTTCAGTTACCATTATGAAGGAATTTTATATATATATATTAGTATCCTAGGAAAATGTGGGTAGAAAGGGCCCTTTCCATTGTGAATTACAACTTTGTTATTCTGTTATCTGATAGGTTTCCTGTTTGAAATCCTCTCTCTTTTACATCTTTTCTGTTGAGTGCTGCTTACTCAAAACCAGCTGTTGAATAGTTTTTATAATTATTCCTAACTACCGGTACTCCTTCTCACAAATAGACTTCCAGTAACAGTTGCTGTTTCTATCAGAAGAAACAGCTTTCAAGTTTCTATGTTAACGCTTTTTTAATATACGCTGCATTAATATCTTTCCAAAACTTTTTAAAATGAATGTCATATTTTTTCTTTTTCTTTACCTTTGCATTGTTTGCTATAAAAATAATAAGAAAAAGAAGGCATGCATAATTTAAGATTAATGATACATGCAACATGTATGTTCCACCTTTGTGTAGAAGTAAAAGGATTTATCAGTGAAAATAATGCTTCTGACTTATACTGTCTTTTGATGTAAATCAGAGGTCCCCAACCTTTTGGACACCAGGGACCGGTTCCGTGGAGAAAGGTGTTTCCACGGACTGGAGAGTGCATGGTTTTATGTGCTGCCTGCATGCCACGGATGGGGCTTTGCTTGTTTGTGAGGATCGGTTACTGGCATGCCACGGACCGGTACTGGTCCACAGACTTGGGGTTGGAGACCCTGGATGTAAATCATGGTTAAGATAGCCATGTTAATTTACTGACAAATATTCTTATTTGGAGATTTTTTTAAAAAAAGAAAAAGTCATAGGCAGTCTGGGTGTTTGCTGTGATTTTCCCCCTGGTTTTTTTTCTAAGAGCATAAAAAGAATTTAGTGTTTTCAGTTTGCAGTGCATTAGATCAGTGGTTCTCAACCTGTGGGTCGGGACCCCATTTGGGGTCGAACGACCATTTCATGGGGATCGCCAAACAAGGCTGTCCGCCATTTTTTTCCCCTTTTCTTTGGCCACGCCTCTGGCACATGGTGATGTATAAGTGGTTGGGGGTCACGACAACATGGTGAACTGTATTATGGGGTCGCGGCATTAGAAAGGTTGAGAACCACTGCATTAGATTAACTGTTGTAGGAGGGGAGTTGGGATAATTCAAGCAAAAAAGCAGAACTCTTACCAGCTTCTGACTAACAAATTGTATTAAAGTGCACAAGCTTTTGTGAGCTTCTACTGACAAAAAGGCAGCTATGCCTTTTAATAAATTTTTAATACAGTCAAAAAATGTGCTACCGGATTTGCTATGGAACTAGAAAAATACAGGATCATGAGTAATGGAAGAGTAATTTAAGCTCCCTAATTTTCATTTTCTTTTCATTTTCATATTACAGTTAACTCTGAAATGTTTTGTCTTTCCTCCTTCTCCTTGTTCAGTTTAAAAAGACCTGGGGATT